ACTACAAGGGACGCCGCGTGCTGGAATTCCGCACCCTGAACGACTTCGTCACGGGCCAGAACTTCGTGCAGCACCTGCTGCCGCACCCCTGGGCCGGCACGGGCCACGTGGTCTTCAACGGCTCCCTCTACTACAACAAGTACCAGAGCAACATCGCAGTGAAGTACCACTTCCGCTCGCGCAGCGTGCTGGTGCAGCGCCTTCCCCTACTCCTGGGGCGGCTTCTCCGACATCGACTTCATGGTGGACGAGAACGGGCTGTGGGCCGTCTACACCACCAACCAGAACGCCGGCAACATCGTGGTGAGCCGGGTGGACCCGCAGACGCTGGAGATCCTGCGCAGCTGGGACACCGGCTACCCCAAGCGCAGCGCCGGCGAGTCCTTCATGATCTGTGGCACCCTCTACGTCACAAACTCCCACCTAGCCGGGGCCAAGATCTACTTTGCCTACTACACCAACACTTCCAGCTACGAGTACACGGACATCCCCTTCCACAACCAGTACTCCCACATCTCCATGCTGGACTACAACCCGCGGGAGCGGGTGCTGTACACCTGGAACAATGGCCACCAGGTGGTGTACAACGTCACCCTCTTCCACGTCATAAAGACCTCGGGCGAGGTGTGACACCGCTGCCGGACTCGGCCTTGGCTCTTTCTTTTTTACACGTCGGGATCCACCGATCTGTCTAGGAAGCGGGGCCCAGGGCAAGGCCTTTGTGTTCGCTCTCTTCCTGTGGCTCACGTGGCGCATGGAGCTCGTCTGCTTTCGTTGGACCAAGGTCACTTACTGGATTTGATTTGATTTTGGTGGCAAATAAAAATGATCTGACAGTGGGTGGTGCCTGTGCCTTCTCCTTCCCGTCTCTGCCGGGCGGATAGAACTGCGTCTGTCCCAGCGGGTGGCAGAGGCCGACGTGAAATCCGGAAATAGCGGCGAGCGCTGGAGTAGTGGTCGGTGGGAAAGTGCAGAGAGAAAATACCCGCAGCTGGACTGTGAAGA